CCTGCTGAATCACTGTAAATAGAATATGTGGAAGTGCTTATTAGTTAGTCCAGCAACATTAACTGATATCGATTCAGTATTAACAGTCTCACTTTTATCACCGTTTATAACAATAAATATGAACTCTGCCAACTCTAATAAATATTTTACTTTAGAATTGGTAAGGAGTAAAGGTCACATAGATGCATGCTTTTAAATGCTGCTCAGAAGGCTTACTAGAAGAAAGTTGATTTTTTAAGCCTATTGGCATGATGGCAGCTGTATCAATATTCCAGGTAACTGCTAGGTTGGCTCTTTTTTTTTCTCTGTGGAGTTTTGCGGAGGGCGGGAAGCTGTTGGTTATGCCTCAAGATGGAAGTCACTGGCTCAGCATGCGTGTAGCAGTAGAAAAACTTGGACAGCGGGGACATGACATCGTTGTTGTAATACCAGAAGCCACGCTGCTCATGGGAACATCGGAATATTACACGACACTAACGCATCCAGTGCCTTACACACAGGAAACATTAGATAAACAGTACCAGTCCATAGGTCAAAGTGTTTTTCTTCAATCTCCATTTCTAGAAAAAATTGCAACAATATACAGAAACATGTCAACAGTTACCACCATGTTCTCTTCTGCCTGTCGGCAATTTTTATATAACAAAGAATTAATCAAATACCTTGAGGACAGCAAGTTTGATGCCATCCTAATGGATCCTGTGTTACCCTGTGGACCAATAATAGCTGAATATTTGTCCCTCCCTTCTGTTTACTTCATGCGTGGTCTTCCATGTGGTTTAGACTTCAAAGCTACTCAGTGTCCAAATCCTCTCTCTTACATCCCAAGAATTTTTACAACCTATTCAGACCACATGACATTTACCGAGCGTGTGAAGAACCTATTCATTGATTCTTCAGAAAATTTATATTGTTACCTATTTTATTCAAAACATGAGGAACTGGCTTCTGAGTTTCTTCAAAGAGAGGTAACAGTCCTGGAACTGTTCAGCAAGGCATCAGTTTGGCTGATGAGATATGATTTTGTGTTTGAGTATCCCAGACCACTCATGCCAAATATGATCTTCATTGGAGGCATAAACTGTGAGCAGAAGAAACCATTATCAGAGGTTTGTATTTTTTACTTAAAGTTTAAAAAAACACAGGTTTTACTAAAGATTGTTTAAAGGATTTGTATTATTATTATTTATTGCCATACTATATTTGTTCTTGAGAGCTTACCTGGTTCAAGATTGTCCCAGATGCCCAGTCTCTGTACCTCAACCTATTTCCAATGACTGTTCAGATGAATCTTGGCTATGGACTCACAATGTTTATGTCTACACGGTGCAATGCACTATATTCTACTCAAAGTAGCTCATTTTTAACATTATAAAGTTGAAAAGTCTATGGCATTTACCATTCAGTGGATCTTTTGTAGGTTTTATTACTGTATTTTGTGTGTTACTGATATCTTGTGTGGTCCAGTGGAAGTGTAAATTTTATGCAAGTTTATCTACATGTGCAAAGGTCTTGATGACATCACAAACATCAGATTCAAGTAAAAGTATTGGGTGATGCATGAAAAAGTTGGGATAGTATTTGTTTTTAAATAAGCTTCTGGTGCAGTGGGGATTTATATTGTCCAGATGACAGTTCTACAGAATGGCAGAGGCTCTCTTGGGTCATGCTTGAAAAATTGCTATATCCAACCCACATTTCTTAAATCTTGTACTTTGTCTTTATTGTTCTGTTCTATATAGCATCTGGTTTGGGTGAAACAGAGTCTACTAAAGTAACATGCTTCATAGTTTCATAGTTTCTAGGGTCGGAAGGGACCTGGGCAGATCATCTAGCCCGCCCCCCTGCCATGGCAGGAAAGAGCACTGGGGTCAAACGACCCCAGCAAGATGGTCATCTAACCTCCTTTTAAAACCCCCCAGGGTGGGAGCCTGCACCACCTCACTTGGAAGCTGGTTCCAGACCCTAGCTGCCCTGACCGTGAAGTAGCGCCTCCTGATGTCCAACTTAACCCTTCCCTCCGCCAGCTTGTGACCGTTATTCCTGGTTACTCCTGGCTTCAGCTAGCATGGTATGAGTTTCATAGATTTCATAGACATTAGGGATGGAAGGGATCTCAGAATATCATCGAGTCCAGCCCCCTGTCCAAGGGGCAGGAAGTCAGCTGGGGTCGAAGGATCCCAGCAAGATAAATGTCCAATTGACTCTTAAAGGAGTCCAGAGTAGGTGCTTGGACCACCTCTGGCAGCAGTCTGTTCCAGGTCTTGGGGGCTTGGACTATAAAGAAGTTCTTCCTTATGTTTAGCCTGAAGTGGTCTTGGAGAAGTTTGTGACCATTTGACCTTGTAATCCCATGTGGCACTCTCATAAACAGGCATTCCCTGAGATCCTGATGCACACCCCTTATATACTTATAGGCAGCCACCAGGATCCCCCTGAGCCTGCGCTTTTCCAGGCTGAAGAGTCCTGTAGCTCTCAGCCCCTCGTTATAAGGCCTGTTTTCCTGCCCTCTGATCATGCATGTGGCTCTCCTCTGGACTCTCTCAAGCTTCGCCGCATCCTTTTTAAATTGTGGAGCCCAGAATTGGATGCAGTACTCCAGGTGCAGCGGGAGGATGACATTCTGGGATTTACTAGAGAAGCATCTATGGATACAAGCCAGAGTTTTGCTCACTTTGCCAGCTGCAACACAACATTGGTGGCTTATATTCATCTTGTGGTCAATCATGACCCCCCCAAGTCCCTTTCAGCCATGGTGCTAGCAAGCGTAGCACTGCCAAATCTATAAGCGTGCTGCGGGTTTTTCTTCCCAAGGTGGAGTACCTTGCATTTTTTGGAGTTGAAGGCCATCAGGTTTTTGCCCGTCCATTTTCCGAGCCTGTCAAGGTTGGCCTGGATCACCACCCTGTCCTCGGGTGTGGACGCTTTATCCCAAAGTTTGGTGTCATCAGTGAACTTGGCCAGTCTGCTCCTGACACCAATGTCCACATCATTAATGAAGACATTGAAAAGGATAGGCCCAAGGACAGAGCCTAGTGGGACCCCACTGGTCACGGCGCACTACAATGATTGACTTCCATCAGCTACCACTCTCTGGGTCCGACCTCAAAGTCAATTCCCCAGCCAGCGGACTGTGATGTAGCCGAGGCCACAGTTGGCCAGTTTTTCTATAAGACAATCGTGGGATACCAGATCGAAAGCTTTTTTAAAGTTGAGATATATGACGTCGATCTCTTCTCCCTTGTCCAGGTGATATGTCACCTGGTCATAGAAGGAGATGAGATTGGTCAGGCAAGACCTACCCGCAACAAACCCATACTGGCTATCCCTCAGGATGTTGCCCTCAGCCAGTTTGTCAAGAATGGTTTCTTTGATAATTTTTTCCAAGATCTTACCCAGGATAGAGGTCAGGCTGATAGGCCTGTAGTTCCCCAGATCTACTTTCCTCCCTTTCTTGAAGATAGGCACCACATTGACCTTCTTCCAATCCTCAGGCACTTCACCTGAGCGCCATGAGTTCTCGGAGATCTGTGCCAGTGGCCAAGCTATGATGCTTGCCAGTTCTTAAGTACCCTGGGGTGTAGACTGTCTGGGCCGGCTGACTTGAAGGTGTCCAACCTCTCAAGGTGTTCCTTCACATGGTCAACATTGATGTGGGATAATAGGTCTCCCTTGCCCTGGCCGTCCCATACTTTATTGGGCTGGGCCGTCCCTTGGGGCTGGTAAAAAACTGACACAAAATACCCATTGAGCAGGTTGGCTTTTTCCTGGGTGTTGATTGTCAGTTGTTCCATATGGTTTAGCAGGGGTCCAATGTTACCCTTGCTTTTCCTCCAGCTCCCCTCATATCTAAAAAGGACTTTTTATTGTTCTTGATATGTGTAGCCAGTTGGAGTTCAGTCGCATCCTTGGCTTTCCTGGTTTACTCCCTACAAGTCTGGACCAGTGCATAATACTCCTCCTTTGGGGTGGATCCAGCCTTCCATCCATTATAGGCCTTTCTTTTTAAATGCAGGAGGTCAGCGAGTTCCCTGCAGAGCCAAGGGGGCTGCTGTACTCTTTTGCTTCCTTTCCTCCGAGATGGGATAGACATTGCTTGTGCTTTCAGGATCGCTCCCTTGAGGAGCAACCACTCTTCCTGAACACCCCTCCCCTTTGGGTCATGGTCCCTTAGGGCCTTGCCAACAAGCCTCCTGAACTTGTCCAAGTCAGCTTTCCTGAAGTTCAGAACTTCTGCTTTGCTGACTGACTTGCCAGCTTTACGGCAAATGGTGAAGGTGATCAGCTCATGGTCGCTGTCTCCCAGCTTCCCTTTGATCCTTAGGTCACTGATTAAGTCATCCCCCATTCCCAGTACCAGGTTGAGCAGCACTTTGCCGCTTGTTGATCCATAGACTTAGCGAGTCCACACACGAGGAAGCTTTGCGACCATTTGGATGTGGCCAAATGCTTTTCCCGCAAGATGTCAGGGAAATTGAAATCTACCATGACGACCATGCACTGGGAGCATGCAGCTTCAGCTAGTTTCCTGGCAAATTCCTGAGCAAGCTCTTGATCCTGGCTAGGAGGTCTGTAGTAGACCCCCACCATTGTGTCCCCTGTGCCTTGTTCATCATGGATTTTTGACCCAGAGAGTCTCCAATCGTCTCCCCTGGGTAGCAATGTCAACTTGCAGGGATGTGTAGATTTATGCGTGTGATCTCCCTATAAGATCGTAATCCTTTTAGTTTAGCAGGAGGACCAGGTCCTCCTGTTTGTTCCCCAGGCTCCTGGCATTGGTGTACAGGCCAGTAAGAGTCCCATTGCGGGTCCTTCCCTTTCCTACAGATTGCTCTGGGGCTGGGGTAGGGGTGAATTCCCTTAAGTGCCTTAGCCTGCTGGGTTTATAAAAACGGCCCAGTGGGCTTGCAGTGGCAGTACTCCCCCCATCCCCTGGCGGGCTCAGTTTAAAGCCCGGATGAGCAGATCAGCAAGTCTGGCTGAGAAGAGCCTTTTCCCCAGTGCAGTGAGGCGGAGGCTGTCTCTTCCCAGCAGCCCACTGCCTCCCTCACCAAAAAGCAGGCTGTGATCGTGGAAGCCAAAGCCTTTACAATGACATCAGCGCCGCCGTCTCTGGATGACTACCTCAACCCATCTCTCCCTCTTCAGCCCATGTGCCCCCACCCCCCTAAGCTCCGCTCCCAGAGCCCTGTAGTCTCTCATGACCCAGCTGGGATTGTTCAGAACCATGTCATTTGTGCAATGAGTTGGGCTATTTTGACAAGTTGCTCCAACAGCCAGGTGTGTTGGGGATGCCTTGAACATACTGTACTCTGAGCCTGCAGAACATAAGTTACAGCAGTCCTGTGGATGCTCTGATTTATGGTAGGGGCCAGTCTAGACTGAGGAATTTGAAGGGAATATTGGAAAGTAGCAAAATGCTGAGTGCATCACAAGTGCACCTGAAAATCCAATCAAGTAAATATAGTTAACTAGCACAATAGAATCATCTATCCAGAAAAGAGATGTTTTTATGAACTTCTGATTACAGCTATGGCCACAGAGCTAGACAGTTATTGGAGATGAATGGTAGTCACCAGAGCTAGATTAAAGAGGAAATCTAGTTCAGTTTTGACTAAAACAAAACTACAATTAATCTATACTGAAAATGTGTGAAAATACTGGAACTCCCCCTAGCAATAGTGCAGTTGTCTTGTTGAAACAATATGGGGAAGGAAGCATATTACAAGCATAATATGCTAATACCACAGGTGGTAAAATCCAGACAATTCAAAGTCCAACAGATAACACTCTTATCTCTCGTTCCATTGTTACCAAAATACTTCATGAAGAGTTGAGTCTGACAGTTACATATGATACCAAATAATGAACAAATGAATCTCAATGATTTTCAGTATCTTTTTATTTAAAGTAGGGACTGAAAGCATCAGATCAATACTTTGGTCATCACTCTAGGTTTTCTGTGCCTCCACTGTCCAATGAACTATACAAAATCAACTCAATCAGTTCATTTTTAATCAAAGGTTTATAAGTACATACATTGTTGATAAGGTACGATCTTTCATATTTGATTCCATTAGATCTTGAAACGAAACATAACTTCCATACCTCCCATGAATCGCGTGGCATCTTCTAATTTTTACATAGACATTATTATTATATGTTAAAGCTAGTTGAATGATAGGAACTGGAACCAGTTAGGAAACAGTTAACTGGATAATTTGCCACTACCCAATCAAGATACAAGCCTTGCCAGGACTGCAGATGAAAGAGGTGGAGAAACTATCAGGATTTGTTAGGATGGGAGCCAGCCAGACTGGAACACTTGCTAGCTGGAGGGATTAGCTGAAGGTGACCGAAATGTGGCCAGAGTTCTGAGTTTCCCATGGATTTAGGACTGACAGTCTGAGGATGAACTTAAATCAGCTGGACAGAAACTGGGAGGACACATGCTGACTGACAAAGGACTGACATGAGTCGGAGTCTTTTTGCAGAATTGACTGATCCATTCAACTTCAAACAGACTCAAGAGTGACAGTACTGGGAAGTACTGAGAAGAGGAAAGGGAGTGAGTAATGATGCTCTGAGGAGGTACACATTCAGAAAACAGACATTTTGTGCATTGCCAGTTTCATAAATCCCATGTTAAGTCAGATTGCAGAATCAATCTTTAACCAGTTGAAGTTAAAAAATAGCTTGTTTAAGACCATGTAGACATTGGAAATTAAATATTTACTTTAGGATTGAAGGAATGAAAGGGGCAAAGTCACACAGTAAAATAATTCCAGCATTTCCTGCAATAGTTTAGTGTGCATCTAAAACCTGGCTGAGTGATTCTGTGGCACAAGGCTTCTTGGTTAATGATATGACTTCTTTTCTACGCGGGGTTTATCATCTAGCTGCATGGCTCCTATTTTTCCTGCCCGTCTGGACGCTTTCTGAAGGGCGGAAGTTACTGGTGATACCTATTGATGGCAGTCACTGGCTCAGCATGCAACCAGTTTTGGAGCAACTTAACCAGAGAGGACAGGAAATAGTAGTTGTTGCACCAGAAATAAATTTGTGGATAAATCCATCAGCACATTACACAATGAAAACATACTCTGTACCCTACACAAAGGAATTTTTGGAAGAACAGCATAAGACAATGGGCCATAAAGTGTTTTCACAACAACCTTTCCTGGAAAAAATCACTTCAGCATTCTCAAAAATGAGAAACATTACAATGATATTATTTCATTCCTGCGAACAGTTTCTAGCCAACAAAGAGCTGATCAAATACCTAGAAGAAAGTAAATTTGATGCTGTCTTTATGGATCCTCTGTTTCCATGTGGGCAAATAGTAGCTGAACATTTGTCCCTACCCTCCGTTTACTTCATACGAGGAATCCCATGTGGTGTAGAGTTTCATGCTACCATGTGTCCAAATCCTCCTTCTTACCTTCCAAGATTCTTCACGGGCTATACAGACCACATGACATTTATCCAACGTGTGAGAAACCTCTTGGTCAGCTCCATTGAATTCTTGGTTTGTTATCTTTTTTACTCACCATATGAACACCTGATCAAGGAGTTCCTTCATCAAGATATGACAGTGCCTGAGCTGTTTAGTCATGCATCTATTTGGCTGATGAAATATGACTTTGTGTTTGAGTATCCTAGGCCTATGATGCCCAACATGGTCTGCATTGGAGGTACAATCTGTGGTCAGCAAAAACCATTATCTCAGGTTAGTTTTATTTATTGGCCAAGTAAAGTTTAACTATGTAATAAGACCAAGTTTAAATCAGTTAAAAATTCAAAGTAAGACAAGTGCATCATAGAAATCCTTGGGGAAAGATGTTGCACCTATTTTTATTATCATCTATAAGTAGACATTTATGCAGTCAGAAAGCCTCAGTTATCTACAAAAACCCAACCCATGAAAGCTTATGTTTTAGTGCATAGAATAATTTCATTTCATAGCACTGCTTATAAGACTTGTGGGATAATCCAAATAACAATGCCAAATGCTAATATTTTGCAGTGTACCTGCACCACATCTTTCATAATGGAATTCCAAACATGATAATTAAATGACTGCACACAGCCATTTAATAGATATATACCAGAGTTATTTTTACAGAGCAGCAACTTGAAATTCAGAGAGATGAAGTGCCTGACAAAATTAATTTGGAAACAGCATTTAGAGGTTCCTACTGTGGACTTTTGACCTGTTATGTCACAAAGTTCTACAGATCTCCTGATCATAATCTTGATTGTAGTATCAACATAATTTAAATATGCAACAAAAAGATACATGGCAATGAATTGCACTGCTAGGCCCCATGTGGCATTTGTAGTACAGACAAGGTTCTTTGGGTAAATCTGACATCTTTTATTAGACCTACTCTAATAGTTGGAAAAATTCTTCTTAACAAGGTTTTGGGCACAAACACCCTTCATCAGGCTGAGGAAGTGTCTACAGATGGTCTGTGCTCTTCCTGGATGGAGTAGTAAAGCAGTCAGAGGCCAGTACATATGCAAGAAAGCCAGTCAGTCAGAACGTAAATTGAGGTGGTCAGTAGGAAAGAGAATGGTGGGAGCAGGGAAGGGAGTGAGAATAGCTTGTAAAAAGTGGAGTGGTTGCCTGGGGAGCCAGCTGTTAGGCAGGTTATAATGTGTCATAAATCTAATGTCTATATTTAGTCCATGAGTTTTTGTATCCAGTAGATTTATGAAGGGAAGTTCATGGGCTCGTCTGTGAAAGGTGTTTTGTAAATTCCCTTTGAGGAATAGAACGGAGAGATTGGAGAGAGTTTTTCTTGTGAGAAATGGGCCCCCACAGGTAGTTGGATATTCTTGACTTTGATAGATTTTTGCTGTGTGTTCATTCTGGTGCACAACTGTTGTTTGGTTTCTCCTACATATTTTCCATCTTTCTTTTGGTATTAGGTCATCCTGACCTAATCTTTGCTGATTCCTCTTGATGTACTGAGAAAAACCTCTTTAAAAGATTGGCTGAGAAGTTCCCTATTGAAGGTGGTCTTGGTTACCAGGAGGACAGATTCTGACCAAGGTTTACATAGGCACTTGAGTGTCCTGGGCGGCATCTGTGCACAGTGCAGTATCAGTGGCTGTACTGCTGCTGTCATGCCAGTGCTTTTAATGCCCCACCAGAGTTAGTACCCAGAGCTGGTGGCCTGGGCAGCCCCACTTGGTTACACTACTGGACCCTGATTCACCTAAGGACTTAAACAGGGAAGTAGCATTAGTGTGTGATGTCTCAGTGAAATAAATGGGACCATGCAATTGCCTAAAAAAGTGACTGTGTGTATAGACCAGATTGGCAAAGACTACTAAGTTTCATTTTACTTCCTCTGTATGTTGGACATGGTCCATTTATTACCATCATCTGGACATATTTAATTTAACCAATTCCCAACCATATTGTAGTGGGCTAGGCACTGGTGGTACTATTGTGTTTTCTGCTGATATACTGAAGATTGTTTATGCTTTGTGGCTATGTTGTGCAGGAGGGGATGGAGCAGATATCACATGAGACATCATCCACTCATGTTGCAGTTTAGCCAAACATTTTTATGGGATATTTAAAACAGATACAATCTCTCCTTTAGCAGGGGGTTGGACTACATGATTCTGGAAATCTAAATTTGGACTTTCATCCCTTGGACTAAATTTGGACTTTATATGGTTGGCTGCAAATGCAGGAGAGTGAACTCTGCAACCCAAAAGGACCTGTCCAATCCTATGTTCATATTTGTATAGTAAAGTGTATCTGTACTTTTTGAGGGAATTTGGGTCTTATTCCAAAGGGCACTGATCTAATCAAATAGTTAAACCTGTGCTTTAGAGTTTATACCATTGGCTAGCTCTCATGTAGATGTATCATGTTTTGAAATAAAAGAGCTATTTCACCTTGTTTGCTCCCACAAAAAAATCAATTCAGAGGTTGAACTGCTGCTCTCAGCAGGCCTTGGGTCATCCCATTCATGAACTATTCTTTAAGAAAGGTCACGGTTGTCTCACTAGTGAACAAAATGTATAATAGCCATGTTAGACAAGAATAAAAAGAATCAATCAGAGTTGTGCCTTAGAACACAAAAGATAATTTTGTCAAGTTCACAATTTACAGGGATATATTAAGTAGGCATATTTAACAAATTTTCCTTCTAAATCCCATCCCATGCATATTATTTCCTATTTTCTCTTTCCACCATAATTTATTGATATTGCTTGCATGACATAAGTTCTTTGTTCTTTATCAATTTACTTGCCCTTAATGCTGTTTTTCTGTTTGCTCCAAAATCTTTGGGTTCCTGGGTTCTAGTCACGTGTGTTTTATAGGCCTTTTCATGCAATACGAGTCTCAGTATTTTCTGCTTCCTGTGGCTATGGCAATTTTGAAAGATGCATAACTTTTCTTTACTTTAAAAAAAAAAAAACAAGAAGAAAATTGGAAACATTTCAGAAAATATTCTAGTGCCTGATTTGTTTCAAAGCAAGATAATGCTGGTTTGGTGCCTAGAAATGGTTGACCTTTTCATAGATTTACTTGATTTGTACTGTGTTATTTTTTACTGCGTAGATCGTGATTTCCTTCACCTACCTCATTTAATACACTGAAGCTCTTACAATTTCCATATTGAGTCTTGATTGAGACCTTAGTCCTGGCAACTTCGGCATACATGAATAACTTTTTTTTGCAAGGGGAGGTGGAGGGAGGTAATAATCCAATGAGTTTACATGGGACAGTTTTTAATTGCTGCAGATGTTTGCACAATAAGATCAGCAGTTTAATTATTTTGCATGTCCATTTGATTTCCTTTGCAGGTACTTTTCATTGTGGATTCCCATTGACTGCAAAGTACTAGGAATTATGGATTTGTGATGTATGTTTTATGAAAAAATATTGACTGGCAGTTTCTTTGTATTTGCAGGAATTTGAAGCCATTGTGAATGCCTCTGGCGAACATGGCATTGTTGTCTTTTCTTTGGGCTCAATGGTCTCAGAGATTCCAATGAAGAAAGCCATGGAAATTGCCGAAGCCTTGGGGAAAGTACCTCAAACAGTAAGGGACAACTCTTTCTAGACTAGCCATTAAATACTATCTTAAAATATAGTATTTGATTATTACTTGATTGGTTTTGGTATATAAACAAGTATCATGAATCATGCCACGTTTGAGGGGAAGCTCTGCCTTAGGACTCCCCAAAAGAAAGACTCATTTGGTCTCCTTCTCCTGAAGGACCCGCTAACTCTGGGTTTGAGACCGTCACTCTTCTCTGTCCCTGGCTGCCCTAGCAAACCATAGCAGCCCTTGGAGAGTTTCTTTCTGGTCAGCTCCCAGGAAGGGCAGTGTTTTCTTCTTCAAAGTGGAAAGGCAAGTGTGGCAATACCCCAAACAGCACAGCTGACTACTCAGCTCCAAACAAAGAGTCTTTATTGTGCCCCCTGTCCTTCCTGGGACTCCATTCTTTTCTCTCCACTCCATCCTCCCTAGGAATCCTTCCTTTCTTTCTACCTTGTTCCTCCTGGGACTGCCCCTTCTCTTTCCAGCTCCTAGAGTCTCACTCTTTCTCCTCGGGCAGCCGGCCATATTCCCAACCATACGGTTACAAAACTGTAGTAATTAACACAGGGACTAACAGTCACCCGATAAAATGAAACATAATATCATGGGGAACTAATCAGGGAGATTCCCTTAGGGAGAAAAGGTGTCCTGCTTATGTAACTAATTATAAGAACTATTTCCAGCAAAGCCTGTACTGGGTCCCACCCCCCACCAAACATCCCCAACCAGAACTGCAGGCTAGAAATCAGCCATATTTTTAGCTTCTTGGGTCACAACATGCCTCGTCACAAAAAGTTACATTCAATATTTAACACAACAAATACCTTTAAAAACCTGCCCCTCATTTCCTTTATAGAAAAACAAAACTCATCGTCATGGCTCTCCAGAAATCCTGATGAACTGCATTTGTCCATTATGAATTCTGGTGCACAACACATTTTATAGCATGATACAACAGCAGGAACGGTGCAGGCTCTTGATGCTGTATTAATGTTGCCTTTATTTATTCCAAAAGGTTATCTGGAGGTACACTGGAGAAGCACCACCCAACCTTTCAAAGAACACAAAGCTAGTCAAGTGGCTGCCACAGAATGATCTACTTGGTACGCCTGAGCAAGTGGGGGAGGGTACTGCTATAAATTGTTAAATATATTTCTTTTCATTTGAAAATGCTATATGATAACAGTTATAAACAGAGGCCTGTAAGGCCAGAAAGGACTCCTGTAATGCTTCAAGCTTCAGTTTGCTGGAGATCACAGCATTTCCCTGAATTAGTTTTCAGTTGAACTAGAGCACATCAGATCCAGGAACAGGGCAGGAGGGGGTGTGCCCTCCTCCTGCACTTTGGCTGTGTAGCAGGCTTGCTTTTTGGAGCTTGGGTTGAGTCTCAGGCTTGAAATCTTGCTGTTTAGATTGGTGGAGCTCACCCCCAATTAGGAGGCAGCAAGAGTTCAGTCATGCCCCTTTCCTGAGGGGAGGGGGAGAAGAGTTCCCTCTGCCCCCTGTGGACTTGATTGAAGACTGCAACACTCAGGTCCGGAAGACTTCAGGGGTGGAGCCCTGCAGCGTATAAAAGCAGCTGCGAGCCCAGCATGAGGGGAACACATCCGGGACAGAGAAGAGAGAAGAGCGGGGTTTAGAAGAGCTGAGGAGAGCTGCTTAGTAGGGCAAAGCAGTAGCCCGGAAGCGCCTCTGAAGACTTCCATCAGTGGGGAACGGCAGACGGCTCCAGCAGCTGGGCTCTCGGTGTACAGCATGGCACACGGCATCCAGACCCTGGGAACTGCGTGACGCAGCTCAGGTCTGCAACCTCTGGTGTGCGGCCAGAGACACAGTGCACAGGACAGTGCATGGAGAAGGACCTTTGGAGCACCTGGGCGGCTCAGATCCCCAACCCCTGGAATGAGGGTGGGAGCTCGGTGCAGGAGACGCTACACGGAGGGTCCAGGAGTGGACTGAGCCTGGTGCTGCACGAGGCAGCCCAGGCCCCTGACCCATAGCAAAAGGTTGAGTCCAGGGAGCCAAATGATGCTCGGGCTACTGAGCCAGCAGACAGGGCAGAACCAGAGGCCCCAGAAGCCCTGCATAGAGGTGCCCTGTTCCAGGGGACAGCGGCCCTCCCCCCAAAGCCTGCTGCAGACAAGAGAGCAGCCTGGTGCAGAGGATGAGGAGCACCCTCCAGGCCCGGGAGCCATGAGTTGCAGGGAAAAGACGATTCCCACAGGGGAGGGGGAGTCCTCCCCTGGTTAGTTATGGGATCCTGAAAGTGGAGATGCCACTGGGAGGGCCCCCCTAAAGTTACCAGCTTCTTTGTAGGGCTTGGGAAAAGCCCAAGGGCATGTGGGTTTCCCCTCGCAATTAAGTTTATCTTTGGGGTTTATCTGTTTCAGATCAGATACTTACCTGTGACTTACCTGTATCTGGAGCACTGGTATAAGGTTTTATGTCATTTACCCAGAGGGCATTGTTTATGTTACTGGTTTATATATCCAATAGATATATATACATTGTACATATGTTTATATCCATGTTCCTTTCCCTTGTGATAAGTTAATGTAAATAAATGTGTATGTAAAGTGCCCCGACTGTCCTGGCCTGGTTCTATAGGGTTCTGGTTCTATAGGGACGGAGGGAAACTGAGTGGTCTGCAGTCCCTGCGCCACAGCACACCTGCCAGCTAACAATATCCTTCAATTGGAGAAGGGGAGTATATACCCAAGTTACCTGTGCTACAGCTATGTTGCCTAATGCCTATGTGCAGTGAGCTTTGAGCTCACTTGCTGATAAGGGGAGGGTCTGGTCAAAAGCCCTGCTTTTGCATGGCTCTGGAGCTGAGAGGGTGAAGAGGAGAAGCCTTCACCCCTTCTCCCCCTCGCCCTCCCTACTGAACGCATTAGCAGGAAAAAGAGAGGACAAGTGGTGGTGACAGTACTCACCTCCCAGTGTCTGAAGCACAATGAAAATGGGCTCTGGCCAGACCCCTTCCTGAGAGTTTACAGCCAAAGAGGCAAGCGACTATGCTGTCACATCCCATCTGGATCTGCCCCTGAACAACATCTTTTAGAAAAAACATTGAGTCTTGATTTTTAAAAGTTCCTGCGGCAAGGAATTCACTACAGCTCTTGAAGAGTTAGTGCAATTGTTAATTGCACTCTCCATTAAATTTTGTGCCTTATTTTTTAGTTGAATAAGGCTAGCTTCACTTTGTTAACTAGGGCAAAACTCTCATTGGGTGGCCAGGATATCACCCCAAGATCTCAGAAAGCTTCAGAGGAGAATCTAGGTTTTTACAGATATTATTTAAACCAGGCTGAGTTCTGAAATCTTCATGGTTCAATCTGTCATAAATAGTTTCATTTTAATTATAATCATGAAGATGCCAAGAAATAATGTCCACATGACCTACGCTTCCATGTCATGGTGTACCTTTATAATTAGCACTGTCATGTTGGTTTAAAACCTTCTCTTATAACGTGCCCACTGCAATTTAAAGAATTAAATGCCTGAGCAAGCAGTTGACTATATATTATTATATCTGTTTTATCTCCACAGCTCATCCGAAAACCCGTGCCTTTATCACTCATGGAGGCTCACATGGGGTCTATGAGGGAATATGTAATGGCGTGCCAATGGTGCTAATGCCCCTGTTTGGAGACCAGATGGATAATGCTATGCGGGTGGAATCACGGGGTGCAGGAGTGACACTGAATATTCTTGAAATGACTTCTAAGGACATAGCTGATGCACTGAATACAGTAATTAATGATATAAGGTTAGTAACAGCGGATACAAATATGTCATCTTCATTTCAGGACTACTGACAAAAATACCGGCACACTGGATTCTAGATTAATTGAACACTAATTACTATCCTTGTCATATTAACAATGTTACATCACTCAAAAATCAGGAATAATAGATTTTAAATTAGCATTTCAATACTGAAGGAGGTCTGGCCTTCTTGCTGTCTGCAGTAATAGGCATCAGCTAACTAGAACTGAATTTGCTATGATAGTGTGGGTGTGGCATAAATATGACAAACAAAAATGTTTTTTAAAGTTATGTCTCATACTTACAGTCAAGCATCCAGCTTTTTGAGGGCAGCAAGACAATGATAAGGATGCTGTTCTACATACAGTACAGGGGGTGAGTGGTGGAATAATTTTTTCTTGCCTGTTTTGCATTCCCCTCCTTTTCTTATGGGAAAAGGGGAGGGAAGAATACCCAAAATCCAAACATCAAAACTAAATAAAAAATTTAAATGGATTTTTGCTATATTTGTAAATGTTTTTAGCCCAAACCTACATTTATCCATGTCAAGTTCCAGACAAAAGAAATGCACCATTCTAATTTTTTTTTCATGGGGGAGAGGGGAAGTAATTTTTGACTACTAGTGTACAGTAATGACATAAACCTGCTTCACAATGGCAAAGATTAAAAAGCTTTGATGGCTGGGTCATGTTAAAACTAACATTTTATTTTAATATGTATATGCCCTTCCATACCTTGTACTTTGCCTAATAATGCTATGGTTCTGTTGCAGAATGCCCTTATAGGGTTGTTTCCTAGCATCAAACATGTATAACCTTCAAGCTGAGGTGGCTTAGAGTGGGTAACTATTATCATTTGTTAGTTATATAGATTTAATAGATTTCTAGGGTCGGAAGGGACCTATTAGATCGTTGAGTCCAACCCCCTGCTCTGGGCAGGAAAGAGCACTGGGGTTAAGTAACCCCAGCCAGGTGCTTGTCTAATCTCCTTTTAAGTGCTTCTAAGGTAGGGGAAATCACCACCTCCTTTGGAAACCCATTCCATAATTTGGCAACCCTCACCATAAAGAGTTTTTTCCTGATGTTCAATCTAAATTTGCTGTCCTTCAGCTTATGGCTGTTGTTTCTAGTAACCCCGAGGGGCGCCCTGGTAAACAGAGTATCCCCTATTCCCTGCTGACTCCCCCCCGATAAGTTTGTAGTCGGCCACAAGATCACCTCTCAGCCTTCTCTTGTGGAGGCTGAAGAGATTCAGGTCCCTCAATCTGTCTTCATAGGATCTTACGTGCAGGCCCTCAACCATACAAGTAGCTGTCCTCCAAACCCTTTCCAGGTTATCCACATCCCTCTTGAAGTGCAGTGCCCAAAACTGGATGCAGTACTCCAGCTGTGGCCTCACCAATGCCACATAGAGGAGAAGTATCACCTCCCTAAACCTGCTCGTGATGCACCTACTAATGCAAGAAAGAGTGCGGTTAGCTTTACTTATTACCTCATCACATTGGCAACTCATGTTCATTTTTGCATCGACTATGATCTGAGATCCTTTTCCGCTGCTGTACTACTTAGGATGGTACTTCCCAGTCTGTAGGTGTATTGGTGATTCTTTCATCCCAGGTGCAGCACTTTGCACTTATTTTTGTAAAATTGCATCCTATTCTGATCTGTCCACTTCCCCAGTCTGTCCAAATCCTACTGAATTCGCTCCCTACCCTCTAGTGTGTTTACTATACCCCATAGTTTGGTGTTGTCTTAGAATTTGGACAGAGTGCTTTCTACACCCTCATCCAAATCACTGCTGAAGATATTGAACAGTACTGGTCCAAAGACAGAGCCTTGGGGGACACCACTGCCCACATCTCTCCAGGTAGAAACTGACCCATACACTACCACTCTCTGGGTGCTTCCCATAAGCCAGTTTTCCACTTGCCTGCCTCTGAAAAAATCCACGCCACAGCTACTTAGTTTAGTTATAATAACTGGGTGTGACACTGCATCGAAAGCCTCTTTAAAATCCAAGTGAATAACATCTACCTCTACTCCTGCATCTAAGCACTTTGTGACCTGGTCATAAAAAGAGACCAGGTTAATCAGGCAGGATCTGCCTGCTATAAACGCATGCTGGTTGCCCCTTAGCATTGTGTTACCCGCTGGCCCCACCACAAATGTGATCCTTAATGATTTTTTCTAAGGTCTTGCCAAGAATAATGGTGAGGCTAACCAGCCTATAATAACCCGGGTCCTCCTTCCTCCCCTTCTTGAAAATAGGGATGACACTGGCCCTTTTCCAGTCCTCTGGGACCTGTCCTGAGTGCCACAAGCGCTCAAACAGTTGCGCCAATGGTTTCACTATGGCACCAGCCAATTCCTTTAGTACCTCTGGGTGAAGATCATCGGGGCCTGCCGACTTAAATATGCTCAACCCCTCCAAGTGTCCCTTCACTAGGTCAGCGCTAACTGCTGGTGGACTGGTATCTCTCTCATGCCAGACTAAAGTCTTATTGGGAAGCATGTTTGTATCTGTGTTTAAGAAGGACTTTTTATTACCTTTAATCTTTGTTGCCAGCCTGACTTCTGTATCTGCTTTGGGCCTCCTCACTGCTTCCCTGCAAGCACAAGCCAAGCAGGTATACTCTTCCTTAGTGGCTGCCCCCTGCTTCTACAGTCTGTAAGCCTCTCTTTTTCCCTCTAGGCTCTCCTGGATTTCCCTGCTCAGCCAAGAGGGTTTCTTGGCTCTTTTGCCTCCCTTTATGTGTACTGGGATGGTACCCCTCTGTGCCTGCAGGATCAGTCCCTTGAGGAACTCCCACCCTTCCTGGACTCCTAACTCACTGATGTTATTACCCCTCAGTCCCACTCTAATCTCCTGAGCTCGTTGAAGTTGGCCTTCTGGAAGTCTAGCACTTCTGCCCTACTAGATATCTTTCCCACCTTTCGCCAGATAGTGAATCCTATCAACAGGTGGTCACTATCCCCTAGGTTACGTTGTACCTGCAGATCCCCCGCCAAGTCCTCCCCTGTAGCCAGCACCAAGTCAAGTAAGGCATTTCCCCTAGTGGGACTGCATACCTCCTGTGTTAGATGCAGGTCCTGTATGCAGGTTAGGAACCTATGTGAATGGGCAGACCTGGCTGACTGCTCCTCCCAGCAGATGTCCAGGTAATTTAGGTCACCCATGACGACCAGGTCCTATGAGCGTACTGCCTCTGAGAGCTGTCTCAAGAATTCCAGGTCTAACTCTTTCTCCTGGTGTGGGGGTCTGTAGTAGACCCCCACTACCAAGTCCCTTTTACCTCTACCCCCTTGTAATCTGACCCATAGGTCTTCAATCTGCCCTTCTTCTGTCCCCATCTTTATTACAGAAAATGTATAATGTTCCTTAACATATAAAGCAACACTCCCCTGCCTTTTTTCCCCAATCTATCTTGCCTGTAAAGCCTGTAGCCCTCAATGCCCAACTGCCCAATTGTAGATAGAGTCTCACCAGGTTTCTGTTAGCCCAACCAGGTCAAAATCTTTGTCTGGAAGCAGGAGTGCAAGTTCCTCCTGCTTATTCCCCATTCTCCTAGCATTAGTTTGGAGACACCTAAGCCCCCCGATAGGTGCCCTTAGTACTCCCCTATCCTGATGCTTAGTGGGCCTCTTAGTACTTACCTGGTCTATTCCAGTGTGCGGGTCATGGCTTGCCTTTCCTGGTTTCACCCTGTCTTGGACATCCCTGTCCCCCAACAAACCTAGTTTAAAGCTCTTCGTAGGAGGTCTGCCAAACTGTAGGAGGACATATAAAACAGTTGTTTCTATCTGTTTATAGAAAGCTGCCGCAGCACAATCTAAAGCTGCCTGGCTCAGCATTACTTGCTTCATACTAACACAAAGACAGATCAGGTCACTGATATCTCTTCATACTTTTCATGGCTGCTGAAATGGAAGATTCCTCATGATTTTTCTGTTGTTGCAGTAAAATAGGCTGTCCCCTTCTACTTGTTGCATTGTCCTAATTTGGCTTTTTTGGTTCTGTTCTCTCTTGACCAAGTGCATCCTATTTGTTTGTGCTGCCATTGCACCCTAGAGGTCTCCCTATGGACTATGCATTCTACAGCACAAAAACTGGCCTCTTGCCCCAGAAAGCTAAAGATAAGAGACAAGACAGCAGGTGGATGCTGGCATGGGGTGCACAGAGAAATACTGAAATGATACTGGTCACCATGAAAGACAGTGCCCTAATTAGCCATTTTCAAGTGTGATGTGGGTATTACAGCAAAGGAGAGTTTTAAGGAGACTCCTTCAGTGTCTCCTTCTGTTTCCCTCACTCTCTATGAAAACCTCTAGAGCATGATTCATGGCCTTCTTTTTCACATCCTCTCTCTAGGGAACCTGATCTGCTTGCATCATTTTAGCTACCATCTAGAAGCTTTAGGGAAGACCCTGATGGATCTTCCCCAACCCAAACTTGAATTCCAGTCTGTTTCTTTCATCTCCTTTCTGAGAGAGCTAAATAACAAGTTAATCCTAACAAAACCCAAGCTCAACTCTTTATTTATCATTGTATCTTTTCTACTTCCCTTGCTGTTGATATCCCCAGCATCCTAGGCTTGTAACATTGATGTTACTTAAACTATCTCTTTTTGTTTTTGAACATTAAAAATGCAGATGAGAAAGATCTTCAGTATCTATTTGAATGGACAGTCATGTAATTTATTTCTACAGACATGTATTTTATAGCTTTCTAAATATAAAACTATAAAAATATTAGCAAATTGCCCGTCAAGAATGATAGGTGGGCAGGGACACAGGCCTGTGTCTGGTCCCCCCACTTTGGGTCTGGGTCCGTCCGTCCCCTCCCCACTTTGGGTCTGGGCCCGTTCCTCCTCCCTCCCCATGCCAGTTCGGGTCTAGGCCCACTCCTCCTCTCCCTCCTGCAGTTTCGGGTCCAGGCCCGCTCCCCCCATCTGGTTTGGGTCTGGAACCGCACCCCTCTTGCCCCCGGGTCCAGACTCATTCCCGCCCCCCACACACCTCTGAAGGAGTTGCTGGGCTCTGACTGTCCCATGACCCGCCCCAGCCAGGGCCCAGTCACCATGAATGGGGCCCTGGCTGGGCCAGGTCATGGGGCAATCAGAGCCTCACAGCTCATCCAGGGGCATGGCCTGTGTCCCCCTGATTTGTTCATGGGGCAAGGGCGGGCTGCAGCTGCGGGCTGTGTTCAGCCTCTACTCTGTGCCTTGCTGCTGCTGTTTTGACAGCGGTGATATGTGCCTCGTTGCCCAGCCCCCCCAGCAGTGGGACTCACATGGCACCGCACCTCTACCAATGCAGTGGCAGCGAGGCACGGAGCAGAGGCTGAGCACAGCCTACAGCTGCAGCCTGCCCTTCTCCCATGCACAGCCCAGAAGGCCATGGCCCCCACTTTGGCTCCCCGCCACCATGCCTCTAGAGGAGCTGCCAGGCTCCGATTGCCCCATGACCCAGCCTGGCCAGGGCCCCAGTCACTGTGAACTGGGTCCCAGCTGGGCCAGATCATGGGGCAATCAGAGCCCTGTGGCTCATGCAGGGGGGCCAAAAGCAGGGCACATGCCCCTCTCCCCCAGCTCCTCCTGCATGCAGGCCTGTGTGCCCCCCCCCCCACTTCCTGCTGCTCCACCTCACACTGCCTCCCAAGAAGGGGAGGGAAGCTTGCACACTGCAGCCATAGCTGCCACCCTGTGCCCTGCGCTGCCCCCACTCGCTTTCCGGCTGTGTGCAACCACCCCACCAGCATCCCTCCCTGTTCCCCCTCCCTGGGTGGAGGTGGTTGGGGGCCAGGGAGCAGGGCAGGCAGTCGGGGGAGCGGTGCATTGGGGTGGGGTGTGAGGCTGTGTGGTTCAGGGCTGTGTGATGCATCGTGCCCACTCCACTCCTCTCCTTCCCCACCGCTCCCTGCTGGCTGTTGTCTGGGGGCATGCTGTGCTGTGCCATGCCTCCCAACAACAGGTGGCAGGAAGTAGAAGGCGGCAGGGAGGGGAGCAGGCACTATGGCAAACAGCATGTCTTGTGGCCATGGCCCACAGCAGCTGGCGCCGTGGCAGGCAGTGCCTTGTGCCCCTGACTGCCTGACCCATTCCCTGTCCCCCGACTGCCTCTGCCTTCTCTTGTCTGTCTGTCTGTCTGTCTGTAATGCTCTGGGCCAGCCAATTGTCACCCGCCCTGTAGGCGGCACATGCACAGCTGGCCTGAAGCATTAGACACACAGACAGACAGACTATGGCTTTTATCAAATTAGAATGCTTAGGAAGTTTAAACAATGTAATCCATTTAACCATCTAATCTGTTTTTCTTTGCAGATACAAGGAAAATATCATGCGTCTTTCTGCCCTTCATCTAGACAGGCCTGTGCACCCTCTCGACTTGGCAGTGCACTGGGTTGAATTTGTGATGAGACACAAGGGGGCACCACATTTGCGGCCTGCAGCCCACGACCTCAACTGGATTCAGTACCACTCTCTGGATGTTATTGCTTTCCTCCTGGCAGTGGTGCTCGTTACCACATTCATATCTTTCGAATGTTGCCTATTCTGCTGTAGGAAATGTTTCTGTAAAAAAGGAAGAGACAAGTCAAGCAAATCAAAGATGCAGTAATACATGAGGTCAGAAGCAGGGGATGGGGTCTGCTCCAGAGCTTAGAGACTGGAAAGCATCCTAGATCTCATTCTCAGGATATCCATTTCTGACTACCAGCTCAGTGATAATTTGGAACATCAGTGTTTAAATAAGCCACGGTGTTTGTTGTTTACTCTTGATTGTCTCAATTAATTCAGATTTTTTTTTAAAGCATTGAACATATCGTTAAAGATAATTCATACAATAATGTTCTTGTTTAGTGGGTAGGTTATTAAGGGGAAGACAGAATTTCTGGGCTCCATTTCCTACTATGCTGATGACTAACTAGGTGACTTTGGGCAAGTGTCTGCTTTGTGCCTCAGTTTTCTCATCTGGGCAATGGACACAAACAGGGAAAGTGCAACTTCTATTAGCCACATATATGGTACCAATCACTTTCCTGTGTGGGTATCTGAGCCCATATATTAACACAAACAATGATTTTTGGATTAAAGTTATTACATACGAATGACAAGTATACGTCAGTGATATATTTCATCCGAACTGAGCTGGCAGCTCTAGTTCTTGGAGGAAGGGAATGGCATCGATTCTCAAGCAATCACTATGTGAATAATATTTACAATATTCTGAGCATGAACAAAGCTTCCATTTGAAAGTGCTATTGAGCCCCCACTGTCCCAGTGAAGCTTCACACCACATGGAGCACTCTGTCTGGAGTGTTGATGTCAGCTGATTTGCTCTTTGTAAATGATATTCTGTTAAAGATGAAAAATGACAAATAAATCCCAAATAATAGTAATAAGTATTGACTTTTTTTTTTTCTCACAGGAGAAGTACAAGCATGCTCATTGTCTCCTTTGGACTAACTGTTGGGCCAGAGAACTAAAATGACAGAAACATACTCAGATGTGGAATATAACAGAACCACATCCTCAAACTCATCTAAACATATAAAAGTACTGTGATTGATGTTAAATGTGTGCACATTTACCAGAAACAAACACACATTTGTAACATGGATACAGACTCCAGTCTGCCCTTTCTTGGCAGCGCACCTCTAGTCCTCATATGCTTGCCTGCTTTGCGTGTGGCCCCGGTACAGATAAATTAACTAGAGTAGTTTAGGGCTTTGTTCACCGAGAAACACTTCATTTGAATTAACTTTTAAAGTGGATTATTCGATTAGTCCATGTTCAATCTTTCCTGTGTAAAGAATCTCAAAGTGAATTAGGCTAAACCCAATTAAGTCTCTAATTCTGAATAAGGGTGCTCAAACAATGATTAATTATAGTTTGTCTTACCCAGTTTACACTCACACTTTTAGTTTGTTTGAATTAATTTTTTCAAGAATACCCAGAAAGCCAAAAAACATCTCATTTCCCTGTGTTTATCCATTTCTCCTATGTCAAAAACACATTCCTCAAAACATCACAAATCTCTTCTTTTTGCAAAGTCATGTCAATGCCTCGAGCATCACCACCTGCTGATGCATCGTATGTCTTTATTATTACTGAGTCATTTAATTGATTTTACTGACAAGCTGGAAGTTAGAACACCTTTTTTCTGATTTTCAGAGCAGCGTTGTTAAGACCCACTGTTTGTGAACCAACCCTGTATTCTTTCACCTGATCAGGCCTGCCTTGAAGGGTCCCCAGAGAATGGCTATGTGCTGGAGCTGACATTTTGGAGAAGCAGGAATCTGTACAGTCTGCAGGAAGGTGCATCAAAGCTTAGGAAAAGTAGGTCAGTTCCTGTGCACCAGAAGGGCTTTTCCCATCACTATAGTACAGATATTTTTGGACATTTACCAGGGGAGCAGGGAAAAGACAGATGATTAAAGCCTTTGAACACTGACACTTTCCAGACTGCTCACCACACGCTTGCTGAAAAGGAGTATAGACCACATATCTACCAGTGTCTCTAGGGGGAAAAACAGAACCAGTGACTGCAGGCCTACATGTTGTCCCTTCGTCTGCAGGTAGTCTCACTAAAACCAGCAGGACTACTTGCAATGAGAGACTTCCAAAGTGAGTAAGAGTGGCAAATGAATGCATATTACAAATCTGCACCTTCTGCCTGAACAATTTATGTATTTCAGCATTGAATGACCCCTTGCCTACTCAGATTCAAAGGCTGAGTCACATTTTATTTGAGAAGCAATAGGATTTGCAGTAATGGGTTTGAGTTGACATGGATAGGTCAATGGCCTTTGATTTGACCTTCACAGCATAAGTTGCACCTACATATGATACCCATCACAGATACTGCCCCTCTTTATCAGGGAGAAGGTTAGACCTAACTATTATGTATTTTTCACAGTGGAGAATGCTGTAAATATGGGCTGAAAATACCACTTCTAAAAAGTGACTTTAACCAAACTCCTCAAATAATAGAACGCTGGAGGCAAAACCAGACACTCAAGAGCAGGAGCAAAATGCATTAAATATATTGTTTTTGCCTGAATATAAGACAATGTTTCCCCCCCCTCCCCTGCCCCGCTCCCCTTGCCAATTAGCATGAGGGGAAAAAAACCTCCTTGTCCTACATTTGCATACAAGGAAACCTCATTAAACACATTTGCCTATCATTAAACTGCTGCCAAAAGCAGCATGTACTCAGCAATGGAAACCAACTATGAAGCTGACTAAAATTCACCCGACACTGAGCATGACTATAAAACACATGGCCTGTAATGAGCAAACATACTGATGGGAACTTCTTATTTTATTTTATTAAAAACACACATCACTGTACACCTACAAAGCTACACATATTGTGCATCCTTGTTTTACCAAAAACAACGACATATCCAAAAACATACAACTACATCTATTAAACCAGGGGCGGGCAATTATTTTGCGCAGAGGGCCGCTTACTGAGTTTTGGCAAGCCATTGAGGGCCACATGACAGGCAGCCCAGGGCAGATTAGTATTCATTTTCTAAATATTTTTAGGGGCCCCGTGGGCTGGATAGAATGGCCTGGGGGGCCGCATCCGGCCCCCAGGTCACATTTTGCCCACCCCTGTATTAAACCCTTAAATAACATGCATCAACTTCTCTCCAAAAACCCAGACACATAACTCTTTTTCTTTATACAGACCCCCATGAAAAACTGTTACCTCAGTAATTATCTGAAACTCTCTGCCCCTCCCATCAGTTCTTTCTGTTGATTTAGTGAAACGTGTATCCAGTCCTTTTTCCTCCACTTCTCCACCTCTTCCTCTTTGATCTCTTCCTTGTCATGATCAATTAAGTATTTTAGTTTATGCAACCCTATCTTCAGGGACTCTTTCAGTGAAAGTCAACCCTTTAAAACCCAGGGATTTCTTACTTTCCATAAACTAGTTTTAATACATGCTAATAAAGTCTTTAATAACCTTTCCTCTGGTCCCTTTGGTACGAATCCATATACAGTAAAATCCCTGTTATCCAGGATTTTACTAACTGGCACACTATTAACCAGAATTTCTGGCTGCCCAGTTGGACGCGCGGGGGAAGCTCGCACAGGGCAGCTGCTGCAGCCAGCCACTACCTTGCCCCCCGCTCCGCATGCGGCTGCGGCTGCCACCTACTACCCTGCACTACCACTGCTCAGCGTGCAGTTGCCGCCCTCCCCCTCCACAGCTCTGTATTATCTGAAAACCCTTGCCAGGTTATTTCAGATAACCGGAATTTTTATATAACTGGCAATCCCCTTACCCTGGGGATGCTGGATAACAAATTTTACTGTAGTTAGCATGGGAGATGGTACAACAGGCTTATTTTGGTGATACTCAGAGAGCAGCAGATCCTTTCCCACACCCACTTTGCATATGCACATTCCCAAAACATATATCCCACTATTTCTTCTTCCCTGTACCACTCCCTTGGGCACCCTGATGAGCTTGTCAAGCCCCATCTGTGTTGCACTTCTCTCACTGGCAATATATTTCTTACAACCATCCATGCTGTCTCAGACGGCCAGAGCCGACTCGAGGTGATTTAATAATTACTCGTTCGTTGGGCGGGCTGGTGAATGGAGAGGCAGACAAGGCTTAATTGGTTGCAAAACTTTACTTACGCCGCTTGTAGCTGCGATGCTGACGGTCCGGTCGTATGAACAACTATGTTAGTTGTTCCAGCTGGCAAGGCTCAGGCTAGCTCATCCATCCACAAATCAAGCCAGCGGGACAAGGATACGTCGGGGATTGCGCTCGGCGACGGGGAGAAGAATCGATAGGTGATCAGTCTATCGATCAGCTCAGCCGCAAGTCAGATTTCTTTAGAGGTTTAGAGGCACTCTGCAGCGTGCTCAAATTTCTCTGACATGGGCGGAAGTTGCACGAAATTTTAAATGGCCAGCAAGCCAATTCCCAGCTGCCACGTAGGAATAATTTAGAACTAGCCAATAGCGGGACACAAATTTGCATTCGAATGGTGGGAACTCTCTTGCACCGGGGTTTCTGCTGCAACAGAAAACCTTTTACTTTGCAAGAGGCTCTCATGTGGCGGGAAAATTCCATCGTGCCGAGGCACCAAAATCACTGGGTTGTGACATGCCCCCTTGCCGACGGCACAACTGGAATTTTAGACACATGAGCACGTCATACG